TCAAAAAGTGCCTCTTGAATTTAATAAGTTCCCATAAGAACCCCTCGATTTTAATCTATTTCCATAAGTGCCCCCTCAATTTCCACTTATCATAAGCGCCCCGTTTAAATAAGCGCCCCGTTTGAATAAGCGCCCCTCAGAAAGTGCAAAAAAATATTTTATTTTTATTCGCGCGAGTACGGTATAGAAAAATAAACAAGAAAAAAGGAGGATAACAACAGCGTACACAATGATGATCATTACTAACAATATTGGATATTTTGTGATAACTTGACATTTAAATAATTAATGAAGGTGGTTGATTAAGAAAATAACGACAAAAGGTGAAAAAACAGGGTTGAACCCGATAAGAAAAACAAAATATGGAGTTAGAGGATGAAAATTAGTAGAATTATTGATTATTATTTATTGTCCCCGATGGTTATTTGATGGCCAGATTCCTCAAATCTGGCCGTATAAAAATTCGCCGGCCTGGCCGTAACGTTTGAAAAGTCACGGCCAAACTATATTTGACCGAATTTTGTGAAAAGTTTACATTTTTTTCAATAGGCCTAATAAAACATAGACTTGTTTTAGATAGGCCTATGTTATTTTGCCAGGGCCGTATAGCCACCGGTACGGTTGGTCAGTTTCAATCTGACAACTTTTTGACAGACCACAAGTTTTGAATAGGAAAAAAGGGCTAAATTCCACCTGTATGTTTAGACTCAACCTACCCTCTCTTTGACATAACTCAGGAACCGTTAATGATAGTTTACATTATTTTCTTCTCTTTAGTGTAAAATTTATGACTGATTAAGGAACTAGGATGCATTTTTTCTTCAGTTAAAAGTTAGGGTCTAGTGGGCTTACATTTTATCCAAATCAAGTAGGTCAATTACTACACATAGTGAGCTTTTGCAGTAGATCAGACTAAAGATTCCATACACTTGCCTAGGACATATATTCACTTCTTCACTAAATTACCGTACCAAGCCAAGACAAAAAACATGCCTTTATCTGTATATCTATTCCTGATAGTTATAATATACAACATTATTTTCTATAAATAAATATACTGTAAATATACCTTTTTTAAGCACTTCTCTTAAATACATGCCAATTTACCATTGCTATTGGGGTCATAATAAGCTAGCTTGTCTTGTCGCTGGAAGACAAATTTTAGATATGGGATGGGGGAGTCTTCGGCTTCTCCTTCGAAAAGTTTTTGTTTTCAGATGCTTTGAAATACACTTCGTGCATTATGAGACGTCTATTATTGAATACACTCTGAATTTATATTTTTTCCCTACTTCACTGTGGACAATTAATAATTATGATGATGAAGAAGATGATTAGGAGGAGGAGGAGGAAGCCGTGCAAGATTAATTAACAGGCCCTTTGATGTGAAGTGTCAAGGGAGGCCCGTAGCCTAAGTTACGATTGAGAATTTGGAGACATTATCGTCCTAGTCAAATGTTCAATGCACACAGTCGGACAATAGATGATTAATGATATCTGTTTTGTACAGAAAGTAATATGAAACCCATAAAATATCAGTTCAGGCATTCACTTATCTTTCTGTGGAAAATATAACATATGAATCATAAAATAAAAAGAATAAAAATATGTAAAAAACGTCTACACTAAATCAAAATGGAATATTCACTGCCTGCTGGATCCCAGTTTTAGTATTGCAGGGGTTCATAAGGCTTTGCAATATAACCAATCCCCGTATTTCTGATAGATTGCTGATAACATGTAAACTATTTAAGATTTTGTATTCAGTACATTCTCAAATGTTATGTAAATCTTATATATCCCAAAATTACGTTATATTCATGCACCGAAGTAGAAAGTTTAACTTTAATAATTTTGATATGTATATCCGTGTGAACAAACCAACGCTAAACCGAGACGGGGGCCGACACAAACAGCCAAAGATCTACGATCCGATTTTGGAGTCACGTGTTCGTAAGATCACGTGCCCAAAATCGGTGTAGCTTCAAATCATATTCCAGTCATTGTGCTGAGGAAGACCGTGGCGTTACGGTCGAAAATTTCACGGTAATGAAATTTGTTTGTGTTGTGATCAAAAGTTTAAACTTTTAGTATATTCAAACACCAACACAGATGAGCTATTTTTCGAATTTTGATATGTGTTATGTGTTTTGTTGAATGGTTTTTAATGATATTACAGTCCAATATGACCACAACACGAGGAAGTATTCTCCTTTAAACTTCTAACCTTCTAAACTTTGCATATCTCAATATACATAATATTTCTTTAAATCAAGGAAGTCCACTCTTTAAATTAGTATATATATTTTTTATATTTTGTCTGTCTGTCAATCTCAGATATCCAAATTTTAGAAAATTAAGTTTTATGCATGCACCGACATGAGAACTTTAACCTAATAACTTTGATATGTATATATTTTATGTTGTCTGTTGAATGGGCTTCTTTAATAATAATATTACAGTCTAATATAACCACAACATAAGGAAGTCCACTCCGTAAATGTTTAGCATAATATTGTACAGATAGTTTCGATTGTTTATCAATATCATTATACACATAATCGACTATTGTATCGACTATTGTATTGGAATCTTACGTGGACTACCATATGCATCGATCAAGCGAATTCAACTTCAATTAAATACTGCCGCACGTCTCGTCAAACAAATACCGAAAACTCAACACATCACCTCTACATTGAAAACACTTCACTGACTTCCAGTAAGACAGTGCATAACATTTAAGATCCTTGTTCACAACTTATCGCCTACGTACCTGACCGATCTTATATCCATCTCCGGTCATCAACATGTTATCGAAGTCTACGTTCCACCTCATGTCCATATACTTTATCTACCTCTTTAATTCGTTAAATATGGAGAGAGGTCTTTCAAGCTGCTTCTCCCAAGCTATGGAATGCACTCCCTATTGAGATCCGACAGTCTCCTTCTCTATCCATTTTTAAGGAGAGACTCAAGACCTACTTTTTTCAAACTTTTTAAATATTCCATTTTTGTTGTTTTACCTTTGTTGGTTTTACTTCCATCGTTTAGTTTTTCTAGGATAAGCTAGTCTAGACGCCAACATCAATTGAGCATCTGTGAGTTATGATCCTGCAAACCACTGCTTACCTGTGGTCTCAAATTGCAGGAAAACGGTGCGGGGATGTTGGTTCCCCTGCGATAGTCTGTTTTCTCATGCTTTTTTTTATTCTTAGGTCACTTGGTTAGACTTTAGGATTTGGTTTTTGGTTTTTCTTTCGTGTAACTTAAGCGCATAGAGACCATGTAGTATGCGCTTACAAGTCCCAAACCATTACCATTATTACCACATGTTAGATCCAAATCACGTTTTATGCAAGCACCGACGAGGAAAGATTAAACATACCGTAATAATTTTGATATGTAAATGTTTTATGTCATGTGTTGATTGGTCTGTGTTAATAATATTACAGTTTAATGACTTAATGCTAATATTACAGTTTAATCGTTAACAATAATATTACAGTTTATTGGTTTAATGGCCCCGGAACCCTGAACCCCAACTGGGGCCCTTGGCGGCCCCCTATCCCCAATCATCAGTGCTCGCGCTTAGTTCGCAACCTGACCACTTCAATTCTCGTGGCTACGGCCCTGTTTGTACAAAACTTTGATTCTAATCGTGTACCTTACTTACACTTTTGGCCAAGTTGAAGTAAAAGAGTGTATTTAAAAGATTAGCAGTTATATTTAATAATTTAAAATGTTCGGATGAAATATATACTTTTTTTTATGAAGTTTATCCTCGTTTAAAACTTTATGAAGACAGTTTATTGCAAGTTTGTACCATATATTAATAAATATAATAAATTGTATAGACGCTGCAGTGTTCTTTATGTGAAGTGCCATCAAATGCTCGATGTGATCATTCGGGTCCAATGTCAAACCCAATTTCAAGCAAGTGTTGCTGAGACTTCATTCAAGTTGCTCGGGGTTAGGTTGTATAGGGAATCATGAAGAAGATAGTTCTGATAGCGACATTGATTTATTGTTTTAAGTACCGTATACTGCAACAATAACATTCCGAGGCAAATTAAAAAAGTTTTAGATAAAAAGTATTTATAGTTTTCATAGCTTTGTTTTAACATCGGCTTGTGTTACCTTACTAATGTAACTTTCATTCTAATTAGGAGAGCCACGAATTTGTCATTGAAGCTTCTATAACAGGCCCTTAAAATTATTGCATTATGGATCGACTACAGTGTGCTATTTAATACATTTAAATCAAATTTAGTCGATCTTAATGTGACTTTAAATAGGTCCACATGCTAGCGACTAATTATAGAACATATTTAATATTATGATGTAGCTAGCTGTGCATTTAATTATGGTGATTAATTATAAAGCCATCCATCCAGGCAGCTTTTGGACTTAGTGGGTGTGTCCGTCCCCTGAGGAGGATGATTCGGTTGATTGTCATTCTCAGGTACCTCCAGTTGATGGAGGCCTACTTGTTTATATCCTTTTTTTTATTTATCAGTTAGGATTATTGCTTTTTATAGCGTGATGAATGAAAAAATTAAATTATTATTATAAAGTATGTATCTACTGTATTTTGAATATATCCTTTTGAAGGTTATTGTTTCATTGTAAAATAATAATAATAATCGTAATAGATATAACCCTAACAATATTATTAAATAATAATGATATTATAGGGATATGATGACGATGATAATTATAATTAATGTTTTTTCAGGACTGGGGGCGGTGGTTGGCCAGGGTTTTGTTTTGTTTTTTGTTGTCACTTTCATCATTGTATTTTATTCTTTTTTGTCTATTTTATTGTTGATTACTGTACAGTAACTAATGAATAAATGAAATGAATGAATGAAGTACGCACTCTAGACGGGCGTGATTAAATGAAACGCCGCTGCCTTGCGAGATAGCCGCTTTACAGCGTAATGAGATGCACGAGTGGATGTAAGAAAGTAGACACAGTATCCTTTGTTGTCATTAACTATAATCACGATATTTGATATTGAAGGTCTGTTATCATAAGTTTCATTAGCATGGATAAACAAGATCTATGCCTATACACAAACCGGCAATCTTATGTAAAGACTTAGCAAAACCCCTCTATTCAATATTAATATCATAGCGGTAATTAGTATTTTTACCGTTTATTTCATAAGCAAGGATACAAAATGTTTGTTCTGTTATATGTAACCCTGCCTAGACAAGTTTTGATAAATAAATGAATACCAGTAAATATTATGCGACTGACGAATCATTCGACTCGCGAAAACAGATCCTTGATTGCACTATGCCGTGTAAAAAATAACAGCAATGCCTACATTATTAAGTACAATATTACAGGTGCATACATCACAAAACTGTTTTAGTTATGAATTATATAACACGTATATCAGGTTGATTCTTTGTCCGAACTAAAAATCTGTACAGACATCATGACATTTTTTTCATCATGTTCTTAATTTCCTCTCGATGTTACCTTTATATCACTAAACATTTTAGACAATCCAGTCTTAAAATCTCGGTATTTAAATGCGTATATGAACGGATTAACAACCATATTACAGACAGACAAAAACACAGTTATGCGATGAGCAATACCATCCATATCTGGGTAACTAGATGACGTAACATTGAAAGTAAGGTAGAGAAACATGTCGGGTGTCCAACAAACGGCATAAGCTACGGACACGGCAATGAATGTATTGATGAGGTTTTTCTGAGCAAGGTACCGCCGTCGACTACCAACGGTTCCGCCACCGTCCGGAAATCCGCGGTGCATATTGCGCAACGTAAAAATAATCGTTGCGTAAACATAGATAATTATTGAAGTCGGGATCAACCATGTAAAACAGAAGCTTATAATTCCAATAATAAACTGGAGATTTTCACTTGTCTCTTCCCAATTATAATAGCAATAATAATTTTCATTAATATCCGCAACAAATACGAGATGACCCATTCCCAGGAACCCGTATATATATATTATCGGCAGAGCTTGATAAAACTTTCCGTTTTTGAAATGAACATAGTGTTTGATAGGATAAACAATAGCATAGTACCGTTCTATTGTAATAAATACGAGGTTGGTAGTTGATGATGTGGCTAGAACCCAGAAAATAGTGCGAGCTTTACAAAAAACTTCGCCTGCATCTTCGTTTTGTATCAGCCATCCCTCCGGAATGATATAAAACGGTAGAAATACAACACTGGACATCAAATCGATTATTGATTGGTGGATGATTAATTTAGCAGTAATATTTCGGTGGCCAGGCAAATTCCGAAGGAACACTACCAGCACCAAAACGTTCGCAAAGATACCGATCACACCAGTGAATGCATAAATGCAGAACCAAGCACGTCCATCAGGCCGCAAAGTCTCATTGCCCCATGCCCAGCTAAGATTCAAATTCATAACCATTCTCTCACTTCGGTTAAGGTGTTTTAATAACAAACGCAATTAAACGAACGAAAAGAACGAGCTAATAAGTGCGCTTATGAAATCCATGTGAACAGATTGATTAACGAGGACTTGTGACTTACAAACGTTGTTAGGATACGATAGCGAATGTTTGCCGAAAGTGCTCCTACTATGACCGTCGTGTTTATTCTGTTTTCAAATATCACATCTCAAAATACAAGCCTACGGATTGAGTGCAAATGATTTGTTTATTATATTCGACGGGAATAATAACTTTAACGAAAAGAACGAGCAAGTGCGGTTATGAAATCCAAAGCCTGTGTGTGAACAGAATATTACCCAAGACAATTGTGACTTCAGTGTGTCAGCAGGGATACCATCACGATTGTTTTACGTGCGCCTGCTCCTGTTGCCTTCGTGTTTATCGTGCTCATCAAACAGTTACAATATTGAACAAAACATTCCATGTCTCCGGGATGCAGTGTCTCTGATTACCTCAATGCAAATGATATTGAAAAGGAAGCTCCTAGTTTCAAACGAGGAAACACATTACGTCATTGTTCAATGAACTTCAAGCAAACATTAAGGCCAGAGCCAGTTTGCTCAATAAGTGCGTTTATATTCCGGCCGCCGTTTTAGTAGTCGCGTCTAGATAAACGAAGTTCACTGATATGGATGACAAGTAATTTTGATGCCTATAGGTAATCTAAGACAATCTAACGAAAATGAAACTGTCGAAATCACATCTCAACATTAAATGCATTCACTTATGTATTGTAAGTTGGTTCTCTGGTTTCATCTTCCGAGCACTTACCATTCAATGTTCTATGTCGACAATTAAACAATTAAATTTGTATTAGACACGTATCGCATGACGGACGCAACATGAAATTGATGAATCAGACAGAAATTCATTCAGTGTAAACACAGTCAGTAAGTGCTTTATTTGTTATTTGAAAATACACAGCGGTATCTCTGGAAAATTCTCATGCATCAGCTCATAATAATGCGCCTGTACAATCATTGTTATCGCCGCACACCAAACTCTCCAAAATGTGTACTTTGACCGAATTTTAATATTAATTATTTACTTCATATCGCGCGTCTTTCTAACCTGCATTTTTGTATCAAATTAGGCCCTATACATCGCTTTATATGGTTGGCAATGTGGCCTCTTGTATCTTCACGACTTTCGTTTCAATACGTACCATTAAAATTAACATTATCATTTTTTTTTTTCATTAATGGCGAGAAATGAGCTCCTGACTTCGTAGGTGTTCTTCAAAATTCAAGGTTTTTCCTCTCTTAAAAACGGTGAGGTAAACTTTCTCATTCTTATTACAGTAAATATGCCTATATTGTGTGTATACGTACGTCAAAAAAGAAAAAAAAAATTAGTAGTTGGTACATACCGGTATTCTTTTTTCCATGAATCGATAACCCCCCACCCCAACAAAAAAGGGGGCCCGGTGTCTTTTAATGACTTTTAAGTTCTTCAAAATTCAGGGTTTTTCCCCTCTTGAAAACGGTCAGGATAAACTTCTCATTGTTATTACAGTAAACAGGCCGCGTCTATTATGTGTGTACAGTATATACATAACAAAAAATGAGTAGTTGCACACGTACTAGGCCTATTCTTTTTTTCCATGAATCGATAAACCCCAAAAAGAACGGGAAATGAGCATTCCCGACTTCTGAGGTGTATTTTAATGACTTTTAAGCTTCAAAATTCAAGGTTGTCCCCCCTTGGAAATGATTCCATAAATCGATGAACCCCAAAGAAAAGTGGGTCCGGGTTCTCCCCGGGAAAATGTTGATTCCTATGCGGGAAATGAGCTTTGTGTGTACCGGTATACATACGGTACAGGAAAAAAAAGAGTAGTTCCATACGTATTCTTTTTTCCATGAATCGATGAACCCCAAAAAGAAATGGCCGGGTCGGGGTTAACACAACGATTTAATATAGGCCTAGGCCTACGTACTACTGCACCAAGTTAAATTACATCTTTAATATATAAAACAACTTATTAATAAACACTCATTTTCTACATGTGAACCAATTCAGGGATTCACCATGTGCGTTTATTTGCTGTCGAAACGATCAAGGTTCGATCGTGTGTTATAGAATAGAAATTCCTGTATTTACAAATGCTTGTTTGGACAAGCTTGTATTTTAACATGACTATAACACTTTGAATTTATTCTCTACACTGCCTAAGTTCCTTTTATTGCATCAGGGAGTTGTGATTGCATCATGAACAACATTCAATAACCCTCTGACTCCGTGCACTCATCCATCATCATCATCAGCCATTTTGTGTCCGTTGGCGTCCGTACTGTTAACTTTCTGGCCCACCGGTTTTTTATGGTCCATGAGAGCAAAATTTATCAATTCTAAGTAATAGGTTTAGATATCACTTTTTTCTCTCTTTCCCTTTCTCTTTTTTTTTTTGGGAATAGCATCACCTACATGGTAAAAAAAAAGTGTGAAATTAAAGTTTTGGATTCGTCCATTATAGTGTAGGTTAATTGTCACGTCACCCATAAATTCATTAATCTTATGCAAACCTTCTAAATTTAATGCTTCGCAATACCTATCTGTATCAAAGTTATAGAAATCGATTTAATATTATACAGTAGTTAATACAACTTGAAAAACTAACTCGAAGTTGACGACATGCAGGTTTGTTGCATTCAGTAGTGTATGCGCATGCGTGAAAACTTTTTGCCGGATGGTGAGGCGAAAAAAACGCGAAACTTCAATTCGAACTGTGCGCAGGTCTCGAGTGGCTGCTGTTGGTGGAGTTGAGCTAATAAAGACGATAGGCAATCATGTCAATTAGTGGCCTAGCACAACTAAAGTCACAGATAGGTTCTGTGGGAACAAGTAATGATTCTCAAAGCAGCACAAAAACAGAAAAGAAGATTAAGACTCGAAGCATGCCAACGTGCAGCCTTTGTCGAAATCATGGAATTTCAGTTCTTTATCGTGGCCACAAACGAAAATGCCGATTTGCTATGTGTGTCTGTCAAAAATGCACAATGACCAAAGAAAGGCGGCGTGTTATGTCGTGGCACGTGAATGAGCACCGGGCCAACTACATGGCACACAGCAGGCTTGGTGAGGCTATGGCACCTTCGACTTGCTGTGCAAACCCTACGTCTTTTAACCACATGCATCCTGCGGTTTATGATGCCTGGCCACCAACACCTCCGGGATTCCAGGCGTTGGTGCCATACTCTCCTGAGTGCCCTCAACCGCAAATAGGCCTAGGCCTACCAGTACCAACATATTATCAACATTATAGGCCTACAGGATTCTTGCCATATGATGAATCTTATCCCACCCCTTCACCAAGTCCTGGCAATAACAATAGTGCCATCGCTACATTTGGAGCAGAAAAAAGTAGCCAGTTATTAAGCTTATCAAACTATTATTATCCAACTGAGCATACGGCAGAAGGTATGTTGAATTTCAATTTGCCAAAAAGCCATTTTCTTGTTTGCACAGCCTGGTGGATATAATCACTTGGAATTGTATGCTCTTCTACCTGAATATTTTGAAATAGGCATTAAGAATCATTTGAAATTAAAAATTAATTATGTATTGTACTACTAATAATTACTAACTAATAATCAAAGGCTAATATTTTTTTTGTTTTTTTTATTTTTGTTTTCAATTATAAACTGAATTTTAATAAGGGGTTGTTTTTCCACCAGGTTGTACTACTACAACAGGCATGCATAGAATAGAGGGGTATTTTTGATGGAAGATTTTGTTTATCCGTGACTGGATTAGTTGTTAATTAAAGTAATTTGTAAAAATTGATGAAGTAATTATGTTATCCATCCTAATGCAAACATTTAATTATTATTTATATTCTAAAAAACCTAACAATGTTCATTCCCATTTATATTAGGATGGAGGCCCATTGGAGTTGGAAACGGTTGTCCGACGATACATGTACAAGGCCAACAACACAATGAAAATCAGCTACAGAAATAGAAAAGAATAGCATCTACCCACCGATGAAGTAGTTTTTTATTTTGAAAATTTCATTTTTACATAGGCCTATTTTAAAATTCAGTATTTTATAACTATGCTCTATCTAGCTAATTTTTATATTATTTCAAATTTTATACCTATATTTTTATGCATTTATAATATTTGGAATTAATTTTATAATTTAAATTAATAGAAAAACTAAAATATCTCGTTTGTATTTATATTTAATTTCTAGACTATATTTTAGTTAAATTCATCATTCATATTAACATTTCCTAGATATTATCTTTTGTAATATTTAACATTATTTATAATAGTTTAAATTTAGTTTGATGTTACAATTTATGAGGCAATTTCATCCAATTTATTTGAATTAAATTTATATTGGTTAAAGATTGGTTAATTTAAATTAATAGAAAAACTAAAATATCTCCAGTTTGTATTTATATTTAATTTCTAGTCTATATTTTGGTTAAATTCATCATTCATATTAAAATTTCCTAGATATTATTTGTAATATTTAACATCATTTATAGTTTAAATGTAGTTTGATGTTACAATTTATGAGGCAATTTCATCCAATTTATTTGAATTAAATTTGTATTGGTTAAGGATTGGTTAATTTAAATTAATAGAAAAACTATAATATCTCCAGTTTGTATTTATATTTAATTTCTAGACTATATTTTGGTTAAATTCATTATTCATATTAACATTTCCTTGATATTATTATTTGTAATATTTAACATTATTTATAGTTTAAATGTAGTTTGATGTTACAATTTATGAGGCAATTTCATCCAATTTATTTGAATTAAATTTGTATTGGTTAAGGATATTTAATGTTTTCTTGTTAACTTTTTACTTAATAGATAGATTAGTGTTTGATAATTAGTCGTATTTTTAAAAATAGTGCCAGCATAGTTTCTTTATAGTCACTTGACTTAGTCAATTAAAAAATAGCTTATGTAATTTAAGAAATGTTTTATTATTTTTTACTAATTTAGTAGTTAATGATTAATGTTTGGTAATTGTTAATTTGGTAGTTAACTTGAGCATTAGGTGTTTGATAATTGTTATATTGATGTTGGTGTTTTTAAAATTAGAATTGAATCAGTGTAGAGAAAATGTGTTTTTAATATTCACCAGATTTTTGTGTTGTAACATTTTGCTGTTTTTAAAATAAAATTTAAAAAAATGTGTTTGGTAATAAGCATTACATTTATTTAAGTTAAATCACTACAAAGTACTGTAATCAGAATATAAGTGCATGGAAATCACAAAATTAATGGTATCAAAATCCTGTATTCTTGGAAGCAGACTAACGTTATTGTAGGTATTGATGCATTATGTTTGACGACACAGACGTGATAAAGGAATGTACTAATTACTGTATTTAATTTATTGCCTAGTTGGAGCCCGATATTCTGATTAGTTGCAGCTAGGATGAGGATTCTTCATTTGTTTATAATCTGAAAGATGTAGTGCATCTACAGCTTACAGCCTGTGGCTGTGCCAGTGGGGGTGGAGTGGGAACGAGTTGTCCATCTTGTCTGCTACAACTCAGCAACTCAAAAATAAGCATGCTTTTTGGACAATGTGCATTTTAAAACATCTCAGAACAGCAAAACATTGTTAAGTGAAATTGTTTAAGAGATTAAAATGGCTAAAACTGTGAAGCTTCCAGTGGCTTAAGCCTTAGATGCAACAACAGGAGAGTGAAGGTCCCCCTGAGAAACATCTTTGACCCCCCAGGAGAAACATCTTGGCTCTTCCACTGTCATTGATTTTACAGTAGTATCTTGGCTCTTCCACTTTCATTGATTTTACAGTAGTAATGTTTTTATGTGGGGGAGAATCTAATGTCAAGCTTTGACAGAAAAAATGTTAATCACAATTTATTTAATTTGTTCTTTCGTATCTGTTTTATAAAATGGTTTTTTTTTTTTGCTTTTTCAAATGTTGGTATTCCCTATATAGTTCCTATTTTGCCATCTGTTGCTTATCAACTATCACTACTAGGCATTTTAATGATTTCTATAGTGCAAAAACAGGGAGGTGCAATAATAGCACCTGTCCCCTGCTCTCACAAACATATGCTCTATAATTCTGTCTACTGTATTACTAATCTGGTGCTTTAAAAATAAAAATATTTTGGGTGTCTCCAAAGAGGATATGCATGTTAAATTGAAAGAAATAATTCTTAACTACTTACCTAAGATCTGCAAAAATATTGGTTTTTTTTTTGGTTTTTTTTAGTTTATGCTATCCCACATTATTATATTGACCTGGATAACAAATTCAAACAATCTCACTTTCAAATAAATTATTTACTTCTCTTTCTGTTTACAATTGTACTTCCAATAACACTTAAAACTGGCCAAAATCAACAAAAAAGAAACAAAAAACACATTGACTTCTTCCACTGCAATATGCTTTACTGAGACATTAACACACAACACTCTATATACACAACTTAAAATAATTCATAAATAAATAATTATAACTTTATATTTTTAACATTAAACATGATGCATAGCAGGTCGAATGAGTTCAGCAATATACATGTAAATAGTGCTTTTGTAAAATGCATCTTTAATAGACTAATATGCAATATAGCTGCTCTTCCAAAAATGACAAAGTAGAACCCCTATTAAGGGGTCACCTCACAGGACCAAAAAAATGACCCCTAAATAGGAGTACCCCTATTCAGGGGATGCTAACTAAAAATGCAAAATTGTCCCCTTAATAGGGGTTTTTGCATGTTTTCATACAATGACATACATTCTGTATAATTTCATTTTTATTGACATAAGAATCAGCTAAGCAGGGGTGCACCAGGATTTGCCTGACAGGGGGAGGGCAGATTTCGCCAACGAAAAACTGGGCGTCAAAAATCTCGAGAAAGTGTTCCAGGGGGCGAGGCCCCTGAGAAATATGACAATTTAGGGGTTTCAAAGGAATATTTAAAACGATTTTAAAGTCTACTAATATGTATAAAATACAAATGCATTTTATTTCTCCCCAACAAATTGTGGTTTTTCTGGATAAGTATCCCCTTAATAGGGGTGCCCCACAGGAGGGGTTCTACTGTAATAAGTCATAACAATGTTTCATTGTTTGAAAAAAATCATTGGTAAAGAAGAAATTTAAATCAAATGTTTTAATGTTTGTAGGCTTTAGTATGGTTGTATTTGCAAAAGGCCATTATTAGGATTGCATGTTAAAATGGTATACACAAGCCTATTCCACTTACAACATTAGTATCATTAATTTTGAATTAATTAGAATTTGGTTGTATAATAGTCTCATTTAAAGAAACATCATGGCACAATGTAATAATACTCTGGAATAAATATATTCAAAGTAAAATGTATCTCTAATAATAGGTTTTCTATGGCGCTGGTTAGTGAAAATAGCTTTTTAGTACTGCTTAAGGTGGATGAAGCGACTGAGGGGCAATTGTATGAACATATGACATGGTACACCCAGAATATGAATGTAAAGAACAACTCGGGCAGCACTGTACAAGGCAGCCGACTGCTCACCGCACGATGCCTGTACAACACTGTCCGAGTTGGCCATTACAGGAATGAAACTAAAAGATCAACAAACAATGGAAGAAGCATATCATTAAAAATAACAAGAAATCGGTTTGGAGCAGCAGAACAGTTAATTTGATTTTCCAACCTTGAGGCTGAGATTTCAATCCCTCACTATGCATTCCGCTCGCATCCTTGAGCATTGCTTCTCTTCACCAAGGAGTATAAATGGGAACCTGGTGGGGTTGCCTGCTACTGTGCCAATATTGTAGCAACACTCAAGCATGTGGACCCAGTGACCAGGGAAAAACAAGGCAGCGCCTGGTAACCTAAAGGAAAGTCTCTATATAACTAACAAATAAAAAAAAATCAAGGTTTATGCGGAGAACCTGCTTACTGATGCTGACAATACTGTACTTTTAAGTAAAAACTGCAAAATATGAGAACACACAAACCATCAACATTCAGGACAGAGGTGCCCAGAGCAATGCATATTGGTATACAGAGGTGTTTCTAAGGTTATTAACATGGAGGGGGAGGATGGGTGTGATTAGAAAGTGACAGGAACTAACTGGAAGAATGAGGTGATTCTTAACTACTTTAGCATCCTTTTCAGGAAATCCTGAGCTGTTTCATTCTCCCTCACGCTAATGCTAGTATAGCATGGTCAATATAACTGAAATACAGAAGAAACTCTATTAATTTTGGATAAAAAAAAAGTTTCTTCATAATAGAGCTGTTCCCTGAATAGGGATTGGCAGTTGTGTTACAAGACATATTTCCCTTGATTCATGGCCAAATAACGAGGGTTGCACTTCATTTTTGTATGCATACTGTATATTACTAACCTGACCCTTTACTGTACTGCACTTTACAAGTATTCATGTAATAGCCATGTTATGTGCTGTTGCAAAGTCATTTACAACAAATAAATGTAGGCTGTAAATGTGATGTATCCATAATGATATCTAAATGTTAATTTCTTTAATGTTAAGACAGACAACAGGGTAAAATAAAAAACTTACACAAAGCATAAGAGCGGAATAGCTCAGTACGCTAAGTGTGTAGTTAGTGTGTCAGAATGTTTGGTTCCTCATCAACTCCACTGCTTCCCCTTTGTGGTTCAGCTGGAAGGCAGAAATGCAAGCTTATTATTTAGCACAATTTCTTTCGGAAGAGATGTTTAAGTCATCCTGAGTGCAATATGGCTCATGTGCATGTTAAAGAACACAGTACAGTCTGAGGCAAAAATTTGGAGATTATCTCCTAGTATACTGCCTAATTTCAACCACAAGAAGGACTCCGTGGAAATAAGTTTTTGAAAAATACATAAAATCTGAGACAACTATATAAATTTAGTAGTTAGTTGTCTCAGATAAAATTATGAAATAAATCTTTTGTATAAATATATGTAGACAATATATCCAGACAATGAGTTTAACTTACTACTTACAGTGTAGAACCGAATTGCAAATTTTAAGACATTGTGCGTGGCGGAGAACCAGCTAATGATTAATAAGCGTTGGACCTCTGCATGAATCAAACTAGTTGACCATCAAAATACTGTTACAGCAGTATACAGTTGACATTTAGTCATGTTAACAAATATTTGTTGAGGTCAACCATGAAAAGAGATGACTTCCTGTATGTGCATAATATTTCTGCATAAATTTGCATAAATTAGTGACCTAGGAAAGCTCCAATGGGGGACATCTGGAGGGTTGATTAGGCGAACAAATCTGCTGATATAATGGCACTCGATGGAATATACCAACATTGTTGAAACACACTTCAGACTTAAAATGATAAACAAACGGACCTTCACAACTAGAGCAAAAACGAACAGCACTCAATATTTCTGAAAGAAAAGAGAGAAATAAAAAGGTATAACTAAATGAAAAAAAAGTATGAAGGGAGTAGTTACATATACTTGTAAGTTACTGACATTGTGTACTTTCTTAATATTCACCATGGCTTCTCAAATTCTTCACCACATTATGCATTCATCACACTTCATTAACTTGTCCAAACTATCAAATTTTATGTGACAAAAACATGTAATGTACTGAAAAAGTGTCATGATGACATCACATCATATATAGGCACATCATGACTATATATGGGCACATCATGACTATATATGCCACATCATGACTATATATGGGCACACCATGATTATATATGGGATTACAACAGTTTTTTGTTAAATGAAAATTTGATAATCTGGAGAGCTTTAATAATTGTTAGTGAGCAGGTAAATTATAGAGGGCGCTAGACTGAATTTTAGATTAACAACAACAATGATAATTAATAAACTAAGTCAGTCTTGCCAGACATTAACTTACTTTCAATTTCTTTTGGAAGTTCTCCTTCTTTCCGGCGGACGTTAGCTGATATAATTTTTCTTGCACATATTTCAAACAAACTTGGCATTGACGTACTTGGTGATTTGTTGTAATGACACCAAGATTTCCTATCAACTTCAGACAGCAAAGGATTATTATTGGCTGCAGATTTTTAAAACATAAATGAAAATTTAAAGTAAGAACTACAAGATAATATATTTTCAAACAAAGACATCTTTAAATATGCAGGCTCCCAGGAAGCATGTGTTCAATATCAACCTATACAAATAATATTATGTTTCATTCACAATTAGTTGTTTTTGTTTTCGTTATTACAAACACTCCCAAAAGGACCTTAATGTCGAGGGTCATTCAAACTAAGCACTGACATTTATTGCAAAGACAACCCGATCGCTAATGCAATACAGCCACATCATATGGTGTAATTCCAAGTTCAGAAATTTCCAGAGATAAAGATAAGATTTATTTCATCGTCATACTGTATATACAAAATATGTATGAAATTTGCCTTCCTGAGTTGTAAAACAATGATAAAACACACAAGAAAACAAGAAAAGAATACATCATTATGGCATGCTGTGAATAATGTACTGGTGGGTCTTGCACCTTAAATTGCCAGTAAACAGTGTGGTGGTGGTTTTCAATGTTCATGGCAGTCTTGGTTAGTTTTAGGTTATTTCTTGTTTTATTTCTTTTACTTTTTCTCTCTTTTCTGTTTATGGTAAGCACATAGAAGCCTCGGCGATATGCACTATATAAATGTAACATTATTATTATTATTATTATTATTATTATTATTATTATTATTATTACAATATGATACTATACTAGCTATATGCCTAGAATAAGCATAGCTCAGTAATGTAGTCAGAGTAACTGGTGAACACTATGTGCCAAAGGCATCCATCAGGTATATGTAGCCACACCTACAGTAATTTTATCACACATCTTCTTGTAAATAAAACATAAGGTCTATATTATTTTGATCCTTTCCTTTTATACAAAGTTACAGTACTTGTAAATTTAATGATTAGTTCCTAATTAACAAATTAATATCAAGAAACATTTTATAACGTTTATTTTCAAGGCTAAGAATTGTTTACAAAGCTAAAATTCATGAATACTAATTGGCTCTTAAAGATGGCAAAAAACTTCAGTTACGCATTCAATTTTACATATGGGGTACAAAATGATGACAATATTGTATACTGCTCTGCATTAGACACTAACACGTCTTATTGAATAAAAACTGTTGTTATTATTAGTAGTATTATTATCATCATCATCATTTGTATTATCAATAGTAATAGTTTTATATTATTACAGTATTAATATTACATACCACTGAATGTGTAGAGTTGGAGGGTTGCAAGTGAGGCAGGAAAGTACTCAATTTGATTATTACGAACATGTAACTCCTTCAAGCTGTGTAGGCGGCCAATTTGATCTGGCAACACTCTCAACCTTTTAGCAAAGAACAAACTATTAATTGAGTATTTTCAAATACCATATTAATATGATTATTCAAGTGATGGTGATTTTTTACATAAATACTTTTACTTAAAAATAGCTTACAGTTGAACTTGCCTAAGTAGAATCCAAAATGGCATTGAAAACTTGTTTGACTTAGATGAAATTTGACTTACAGATTGTTAATTAACACTCTGACCGCCAGGGTTTGAAAAAATAGTATCAGCCACCGCCAGACTTTTTAGCAAATTTTAACACTTTTCAGAAGCTCGTTGAGAGTGTGTATGTGATCAGATTGACATGTAGTGAATACTACAAGAACTACAAACATTTTAGCTTTACAATGGTACCAAACACTATATTCTAATCACGATATGTAACCTGTAACAGCAAAATGAAAATGACTCACTTTTGGAGATTTACACAATTTTGCACAACGGAGCTAAGATATTTGCGATTTTGTGAAAATATATTAATACCGCTCTACGCCTAATGTAAGCAAACAAATAGTAAAATACTTACGGTCTAGACTGAATATAGTGTTCAAATTGTTAGTACATGTCTGTAATTACCCCATCTATCGGATTCCGTAAACAAATCTGAAACATGGAGATCTCTGTATTTGGCGGTCAAGCGCTGCGTTATCAAACAGGGGGATTTCCGTGCTTAGCGGGCAGAGTGTTAATGGAAAACACAACATGTAAAATAAGATCAACTTAAAAACTATTTGAGTTAGGCAAAGTCGAATTAGGCAAGTATACCTGTAATAGAAAAAACATATAAACAAACCTATTATTTGAAAGCCAGACACGTATTAATGATGTGCATCGTGAGATTGAGTCTGGTAGAGATGATAATGAACATGAAGATAAATCTAGTTCCTTGAGGCAGTAGAGCTGGCCAATTCTGGCTGGTAAATTCTTGAGTTGATTCTCACCAACGTACAAAGCCTGCAGCAAAAATATCAATTCATTTACTCTACTGTAAACAGCATAGATTAAGTCAAAAAAAAAAATTAATTTCTTGCTTTAACCATTTTACTACCACTATTACTACAGTATACTATTCCTGATTATATACTGTTATTTAAAATGTTATTTGACAATTACCACAAAAAATAAAATATAATTTGACATCAAATTTCAATGAAGATGGATTAACTGATAGTGTTAAGACAGTATTTCAAATGTATCAATTTTTAGAATAAAACAGAAGACCTTTTATCACAACTTTTAGGGGTTAACTTCTGAATAAATTGAAATATACTAACAAAGTATCCATAAAAGATAGTGAATCAAACAAACAAGGCTAGATGGATTTTTATATGTACAAAGGTCTAGAGAAGGTGAAACCCTGTTTATTAATCATAAATATTGAAGTCCAAGGTGAATATACTTACAGTCAAGTTTAATAAATTACAAATCTCTTCTGGTAAACCTTTCAACTTATTGGAACTAAAAATAGAAAACATGTATATATCATTTTACGGGACATCAATTATCATAATCATTCTTATCATCATAACTACACTTCTATCCTCAACATCCTCCTCCCTTCATGAATATAGATTTCTTCATCCTCTTTGTAATTGTCATCATCATCCTTGTTATCATTACCACTGTTGACACTGTCAATGTCTTTATTTTTATTATCATCATCATCCTCCCCACTGTTGTTGTTATAATCATCTTCATCATAATCATTAGCAGCAACATCAACAACAATAATATAACAACAACAAAACTATATTTACAAAGTACATAGTAGTACCTGTAGTAGAATATTAGTAGTAGAGTTATTAATAGTAGCATTCTAATTTCAAGTTGTCAAATACATCATAGTATTATTGCTATTCTTTATCTTAGCCATATATCATCTAGCGCAGAGATTTTGGAAATATTTTGATAGTTCCATCTACAGTATGCATTGTCTTTTTAAGATCAATTACATTATTTTTTCTCTACTTACTGTGCATAAAGTTCTTCCAATTTTCCAAGTTTTCCTATGGACACTGGTAAGGCTTTTAGTTGATTGTTTATCACATTAAGTACTGTTAGGTTGCTAAGGTTACCCAGGTTACTAGGCAACTTATGCAGCTGGTTGTTTTTGCAATCCAGCTCATGAAGGTTGGTTAAATAGCCTATAGTTTCCTGAAAAACAATGAAGAATGAATATCTGTATTATACCCCTTTACACTGCTAAGGGCAGAATAAACCTGTGTTCCAGAGTGATCCCAGGTGCATTTCCCATTTACATCAAACGTAAAAGTCTGGGTTGATCACGAGTTGTTCCCATTTTACACTGGCAACAAACTCGGGTTCATATACCGCCCTCAATTTTTGTTACGATCGTGATCATCAATTCGCTCAAGTTCTAGTCGTGACGAAGCCACATTATTTTCAATATTGAAGCAATGTATTTTTTTTTAAATTATGTGAATTAAGTCAGCAGTTTTGCTACCAAGTCTATACCAAGTGTCTAGGCCTAGCCCGTTGCTAGCAAGGTTCAGGCCTACCTGACCACATCTGAGGTAGACGCCAGGTAAGGCCTAACTCCGGAATTCCGGAGTTTCTATCCCGGGTATTACAAAATCCCGGGTTGTGTCCAGAGTTTTGCTTGCGGTTTTACACAATGGAACACCATGTTTACAACTTACACAATGTATATTAAAGCATATTATTCAATATTTTATTTTATCTACAACCAAATGAGACAAGAACAAAACTAGTTTTAACATCATATTACAGTATTCATAAATGACACTTATCTTAAGTTCTGTCCAGACTACCAAATTAAAAAAAAAAATCAGTGGCATGCCCATATATAGTTATGATGTGCCTATATATGGTCATGATATGATGTCATCACAGTCATCATAACTATATGTAAAGCCAGATTTACACTAGACACGATAATGACACGAGAACGACATATCATCGCATAGTTTGTATTCTTGAACACTGCGCACATCTGTATCGTGTCGTTGTTGTGTCGTAATCGTGTCTAGTCTAAACGTAGCTGAACACGAAGACACATTACCTCAAATAAAAACTTCCCAAGTTTCTATATTGTAATTTATGCACTTGCTGGTTTGTGGAAGGGCCTGAATCCAACAAGGATTTAGTTCAATATTGGAGCAGTTTTGTTTCATGCTCTAATGCATTTGTCTATTGTATTTTTGTGTAAAATTTATTGTTTTGAGACAAATAAATGAAATTTAATGAAAATAATAAACAACTCACAGGTAATGACTGAAGACAGTTGTATTGAAGGAAAAGTTCTTTTAATCCTCGTAAACAACCAATTTCCAATGGTAACAAGACAAGGCGATTGTTGGACAAGTTCAGAGTTGCTAGCTGCGTCCCTACGTATCCTATACGGTTCGGGCATTGCTTCAATTCAAGGTAACTTTAAAATCAACAGAAGTAAAAGTAGTTTGAATTAATAATTCAATTCAAATTTTATTTCAGATGTCCATTGTCAATATAAAAAAAGATAAAGAAAACACATCAAAAGTATCAAATAGACATTTGAAAGAGGTGGAATAAAGATTAATAAATGAAAAATGAAAAGTTTATAGAAACATCGCACACGTTATGTTACCATCATATGAAGCTTGGCATTTAACAGTTTTTTATCAGATGTCTGAAAATGCTTCTGGCAGAACTCATGGTACATTGCAGATCAAATCAAGCCAGACACTGCATTAATCAACTGATATACACCCTCAATTTAGCTGAAGTGAGCCAATAAGAACAGTCTAAGTTGCCATGCAATAATGGTCCCTTGAATGACTCCGCTTAGTAGTGCAGTATACGGTATGTCATACTCAACATTTACATGTGTAGCATGAGAGCATGCAAGGGCTCATTATAGGCAAGTAAAATGGCCGAGCAGTTAAGGCAGGGCCCATAACCAACAGCCATAATATCGGTGCTGGTTCGAACGGCAGGCTCGCCTATGGCTCTGGAGGTGAAGCAAGTCTTCTCGGATAAGGACTATAAACCGTAGGCCCAGTGTACACAATGGCTCATGTGCACTATAAAGAACCCAGTACATTTTTCGAGACGAGTAGGGGTTACCCCAGTGTAATAGTTCATCTCAAGCCCCTGCCCTCATCCAGATGCTGATGCTATAGATTTAGATTTTTACGGACCATGTACCAAGAGAATTCACTTGACCTAGGATGGGGATGCTCACCACAGACCAAAATGTGGTACATCTACTAATTCAGATATATTCTTGAATACTGCTGTCAATACAATTACAACGTACAGTATATGAGGCTTTAAATTTTTCCTTAAATGTGGAGGAGAGGGTAATTATATGAGAGCGAGATGTCAAGGGGCTTTAAAAAATGAGGTAGGAGGTTAAAATGCATTACCTGCAAAACTGAGCATTATCATAATTCCTTTGTGCCTTACCCTATAAGCGTTTAAATAGCAGCCAGTAAACTCTTTATTAAACTAGTTGAATACAATAGGCTCAAGCACTTACAAAAACATTTTAGTGTACTGTTTAATATGTATATTTTAGTGTACTGTTTAATATGTATATTTTAGTGTACTGTTTAATATGTATATTTTAGTGTACTGTTTAATATGTATATTTTAGTGTACTGTTTTTTTTCTGTGATTTACATTTGCAGCTACTGTAATTTCCTTTTGGACAAAAAAAAAAAAAGAATCAAGGCCCCTTCGCATTCTAGCAGGTAAATGGTGAAAGGGTGATGAATCATTAGGAGGCAAAAACCACCTAATAATGAGCCTGATAAACAAGGGTATGTTGACCAGCAGGCCCATATGCAGGGAGGTGCGACAGTGTGTATGCAAACACCCAAATTACCAAAGGTCCACATTTTCGGTGGGGGGGGGGGGGTAGAAAATGCAAGACACACTCTTGCACGTTCCAGAAATCCGGCCATCTAGGGGTATCATAATTTTCCTACCTCAGCCCCAACCATAGTGGGGCTGAGGTTTACATTTGCAGCTACTGTAATTTCCTTTTGGACAAAAAAAAAAAAAAGAATCAAGGCCCCTTCGCATTCTAGCAGGTAAATGGTGAAAGGGTGATCATTTCATGAATATGTCACTGAAAAACTGTTTAAATACCATTGATATTGCATCTTCAGAATAAATTAAGACCTCAAATTATCAAAAATGTCTAGACGAGGGGGTCATTTAGGTCCACTCTCCTCAAATTTGCACCCACCCAATAAAAAACTTGCGTGCGGGCCTGACCTTTATGATTAGAAAGATAAAAATACTGATACCTTAGGTCTAGTTCAATTGGTTTTTCACAACAGGCACATTCTACTAAATTCTGTACAGCTACTAATCCTGTGCCATGCGCGTTGCAGATGGACTTTTGGTTCTTACGACAACATGTTGCACATAAATCATACCTAGAAAACAACAAAAGCCATAGCAAAAAATGACATCATTAAAGTCATTTGAGTAAGTGAAACACTACTGATATCATTATTACTATTATGATAATGGTTATGATGATAAGGCTAATGACAATGATGATTTTATTAATTACTATTATGATAATGGTTATGATGATAATTATGCTATAAAGATACAGTAATGATTATGATAATAATGATGATGATGATTACTTACAGTAAAAATGATAATGAAGACCAAATAAAAGTTTCAATTATTATTACTATGATGATAATGGTTATGATGATGATGATGACAACGATATTATTATTACTAATTATGATAATGATAAGATCATGATGAAGATGATTACAATAATAATTATGATGATAATGGTGATAATTATTATAGTAAATATGATAATAAAGACAAAAAAAACACTTTCAGGGTATAGTAGGCTGAAAAACCATTTGGCTTTAAGAAGTAAAAGGGAAGTCAATCTGCATCCTTTGCCTTGAGCTAATCTGCAGTTAGAACAGAATTTATTCTTTAATGATTCTTTCTTCTTTCTGTTGTTTGTATCTTGATTTCATCTTTATATAGCCTACAGCACAAATTAAGTCTATAATAATTAGAGCAAAATGTTGAAGTTCAACTAGTAAAAGAGCAGTCTTTTGACGTCAAGAAGTACTATAATATTACCTATCACATTTAATGCATAATCAAATTAGAATAAATGTCAGACATAAAGTAAAATGAGCATTGATATCTGATTTGTGATGGAAGCGAATGAAAGCAAAGGTAATTAGCAGTCTGTGTCAATTTATATCTAGCACATGCCCTGCTATACGTTAACTGTTATTAAATATCCCAAGAGACCAAATTTAACACCTCTATACTGTATGGTTTTACAGGCATCTTTCACTTTTTTTCACAATTTATAAATACAATAAAAACATTTAGGCACAATTGTTTTAGGTTTGGGCAGCTTTACCACTTTCTCTGCCTTTCCTCCATTTTCCTCCTCATTTCTTTTATTTTCCCTTTGCACTTTTCATTTATTTTCCCTCATTTTACTTTCCTCTTTCTCCAACATTACTTTGTCTTTATGCATCTTAAACAAAAAACTTACTGGCAGCTTCGCTTTGCAGCTACTATGCCGCATGACACGCATGCCGTGTTGGTCAGCCTCGGGGGTAGCTCATGTGTCGTCACCACCACATTGTTACTACTGCTGTTACTTCGTAAGAAATGCTTTTTCTTGTTGCGTCCCTAAACAAATTTTAAAGAAATCCCTTGTCAATAACAAATGTCTATATAAAGTATTATTTATTATTTTATAGGTATCTGTTTATTATTTATTACATAAATGTAGTGTTGTTCTTGTGGGTCGTGAAAGCACGATAGTAGATGTACTGCAGGGTAGCAATATTATTAAAAACACATCTGAGGAAATTGAAACATTATAAAAACATAGATTTCTGAGTGAATGGAAGTTCTAGCTGAGTCAGGTACCTAAGTGCCAAGCCAAAGGGGTGCAATTTAACAGTGTCATAATAGTAAGTATAACCCTTCTTGATTATTGAAAGCATTAAGTCCTTATCTTTGGAAAGCAAGAGTGTACCAATGTGAGCATATTCAGTATTGAGTTTTTTTTATCCACGATATGTCATGAGACTGAACATCGATTCAGACATGATACATAAATCAATGAATAAACGTTGCGATACTTGTTGCATTTATAGTGTCTTTCCTTGTACTTATGACTTGCTAAACCACTCTCTTATGTCAAAATCCCCATGAGTAAAACTTCCACACAGACCAAATAAAGCATGATTCACTTACTAGTCTATGACTATTTTTCAGTATTTGAACAAACACATGAACATTAAAAATTTGATGTTTATTTGAAGAATTCACATTCAGATAATGCCTACTAAAAAATAAGCTTTTAGATGAGATCATGGGTACAGTACACAGTAGGCCTACAGTAGTTGCAATAGCTAACATTTCCTATTAAGCCTACTGTACTGTACTTAAAATAACTTAGAATCAAGATACAGTTTCCTTGTTAACACTAAAGAATGTGAGCTAATTTTTGTTTGATAGTTTGATGCAAGTACAGTAGTAGTAAATATGGCGATTGCACAGAGTACGGTAGAGTATTGTATTTTGAAAAAAGGCCTATTTCACAAGTAGAGTACAGTAGTGCAACTATAACACCATTGTGAAAATTGAATCAAATTTTAAAAAACATCCAAAATAGCTTGCCATTTAACATCCTTCCTCAAAGTTCAAAAGAGCGTACGTTACAGTAAAGCAGAATTACTTTAAATTAGAAACCGGTACTTAAGGATATTCTAATTTAAACCAATCAGAAATTAACCTGTTATCTAACTCTATATGTTGTATTTACACAAAGGTCAGAAGTGGATATAAAGAGAAATGAAAAAAAGAGAACAAAATGTCAAATTGTAGTACATAGTATTTTAACCCATACAAGCTGTTCATTATGTCTGGGATTAATAATAACTGAATATTCCTTCAGTAATATTTCAATGAACTGACAACAATTCTTCACAATTACTTAATGTTAGCAATGTCAAAATATACACAGTACGATCAAACAATTGAAAAATTCTAAATTTAATGGAAAAATTTATATGAATCAAATTTGATACCAAAATAAAATAATTTTAATATTGTCTACTGCATTCCATTGTATTATCTACATATATTATGAGCTCCTTCAAGGCAGCATCTTCATCTTCATTAAATAGCATTACAAATCTACAAATCTAGATTTGAACTCGTCACTAAGGACAAGTTAGGTGATCCACTTGTCAGGCAAAAGAAATCAATTAAGAATAAGCGAGATATGTTTAAGTGACTATAGAAATTTATGACGTTATAAATAAACATTAGTTTTTTAAAATTAAGATGGCAATATGATGACGTCACAATGTCTGATCAGACATAATGATCTATAAAATAACATCTACAACTTATGTGCTTTCAGAATATGTAATAAAAATTGGGGGTCACCTATCATCCTAAGGAGCTATAATTGATTAAAAATAGGCATGATTTTAGGTATATTTTAGTTTTGACACACGCGTACGCGCACGTTATGACGTGCGCAGAAAAAATTAAGGTATTTGACATTCAATCTCGACCTGAAGTTTATGTCCACTGAATACGATTCACAAATGACGACTGGTTAGGATGATATGGGGTCATCAAAGAATTGAGGAAAGAAAGATGGGGGGGGGGTGATGGAGTCAGAAAAACAGTTTATTTTGACCATGATGATATCATCAAAACGTTAAAAAAGTCACATTTGTGAAAGATAATTCTCTCAGCTATAACATACTCAAAGTTGGGAGACGATTGACCAAGGATAAGCGAGATACGCTCAAATGCGTATTTTTAAAAATGACGTCATAGATAAAATTCAGTTTAAAAAAAATTCAGATGTCAATATGATGATGTCACAATGTCCGATCAGCCATTATGAGCTATAAAATCATATCTGAAACTCCTGTGCTTTCAGAATATGTAATAAAAAGTGGTGGTCACCATTCATCCTAAGGAGCTATAACTGATTAAAAATAGGCCTGATTTCAGCATATTTTCACTGTATATCGGCACAAACGCACTCAAAGCTCTTATGTTTGATGCGCGCGTACGGCATTGCCATTGGCCATAAGATGACTGAAAAGAATGGAAATTTGTGAATACAATGTCAGTAACCCAAAATATGTAAAAAAACGTAATTTTTTAGCTTCCGTATGTCAAAATGCATGCGCATACTGAAAAATGTCAAAAAATGTTGAAATGTTCAAAATGGCCTGTAACATGCTCTAATTTAGTCAAAAAGTGATTTTGAGCATTTTGAATATTTGACGCACGAGTATGGGCACGCTATGACGCACACACAGACGTTGATGAGTACAAAAGGTTGACCCTTCATAACGAAATATGAGCACATTGAAAACCTTATTGTGACTATTTCAGCCCAAGCCAAATGTTCTTTGAAGTGAGCATGTTCGTAGCTCTTGGCAATTTTGAGATGTCGTGCGAACAATTATTTGACAAAAATGTAGAATAAAAAAAAGATCTACGACAATAACAAGATGGAACCGCTCGTGAAGCGGATCACCAAAAACAAATTGGTCATAAAGTGCATTCAAACATACCAACAATTATGTCACATATTGTCCTAGCTATGTTAATGAATGGAATTCTTAAACATAAAATGATGGCTATGTGCATGAGAACTCCAACTCTCCGAATTACGAATGTTAATAATTATGAACACTGTTCAGTTACAGGTGTTTGTAATGGGATATATTGTAGTTATTTAAAGCCTACGGTGTATACTCACTACAGCCCTACTTACCGTTAAATGTCGAGTAGCATGGCACGATACAACACTTGACGTTCCACGACTTATATACTTCTTGCGTTTCTTTGGGGGCGGATCTTTGCCACTGATGAGACCGGTCACGACACAGCCTATAGTGATTACCAGCATCGTGATGACAAATATGATGATGCTGACAGACGCTGCATTCCCACTAACAAATATAACATCTTGAAGATGTTGCCAAGTGTCTTTTAAGAACTCCAGCATGGTGTGCTATTTGTTGATGTCCAGTCCAGTTACCAGGGCTGTAGTCTGGATTAACTAGGCTAGCAGACACTTAAAACCACCTGCAAATCATAATCACACAAAACTTTTGTCCTTATGGAAATTGTTTTTCATTATAATATGGCAAACAGAATTTTAAAAATTATTTGATTAAAAAAATACCAAAAATATAATTGAAATTTACATCTCTTTTAAATATCTATTATTATCATTATTATTATTACTGTTATTATTAAAACTTTATTTTTACACGGAAGGCTTGTCTTACCTGGAGGGTGTTATTCTACAAGGCTGTGTTGTCATTGAAATTGGAAAATAACAGTATAAAAAATAACACATAATATCACAAAAAGACAAAATTTTCTACAAATATGAGATACAAAAAATGAAGCATAAACCAAAAATTTTACAAAGTGTTTTAAATATTTTAACATTAATACATTTTGAACACGTTTAATAACTATATTGATTAAATGTTTGTAATTATCATAGTGTCTAGCATAATAATAATAATAATACTAATAATAATAATAATGATAATAACTAGATTGAAATTCGTCATCAACAAATTTTAGGTGATACGCAATATATGATAGTTTTCCTCAGCTAAGAAATTTTGAAATGTCCAAAATGACCTGAAAAGTGCTTTAAATTGGTCAAAAAGTGATCTTAAGAATGTAAAAATAAACGCATTCAAAAAATTCAACGTATGCATATGGGCACGCTATGACGCACGTGTAGACATTGACGAGTACAAAAGGTTGACCCTTCATATGAAATATACTTGTGTCATTGAAAAATGCCTCTTTGTGAGTAACTTATGATCAATCATAACATTTCACAAAATGGTGTGTAGATGACGTCACGTGACTGTGACGGCACACAAAAAGTCACCTGCAAAACTTCAGATAGAGATCTATCTGCTAGCCAAATAATAATAATTATAATAATAATACACATTTTTAAAGCGCCTATTAAAGCAAACAAAACTGGCTTGTCACTGGCGCTGGAGGATGTTAGAAAGAAGTAATGATGATAGAACCTGTGCCATTTTGAAAATAGCTAAACTATGATGAGTCTTGTTATGAAACCATTTAACTGTACATCTTTTTTCAAACTTTAATTCCAATGTAATACATTCTTAAATTCAAAGAAACCTCTATTTACAGTACTTGATTATTTAACACTAAATGTAATATTAAACAACAACAAACTTTACAATAATTAAATACTACAACCTATATTTATAGTAATATTGATAAACTCCCAGCAAATTAGAAATGATTAATGAACGATCAATGTAAATTGGTTTTATGATAAACATTAACATCATTTCCACTTTTCGTTGCCAGCATTGTACATTTTACTACTGTATCTTGAATCTTTTGGCCACCTTTGTGAAAAAATGAAAAAGGAAATTTAAAAAATAAAAATAAATAAATCCAGACAAAGATCTAACTTTATATGATCTTTTATTTAAATCTAAATATTTTTGCATTCCATTAAAATTGTAATTATTTACACTGGAATATTTTTTTTCAAAATTACTATTTATTAATCAAATAAAATAAAGAAATATCTTTATAATACTTCTATTAGTATATTGTCCAACACCTGTATTTAATTTATTGAAATATTTGTATAATTAATTAAATTAAATTTATATTAGATTACATGGACCCCAATGGAAATAAGGCCACAAAGCTTTTTATTGGGTTATCCAGGAAAACCTTTTTCAAATATCTATTTAATTTACACGTTTATATAAGTTTTGTGTTCATATGTCGTATTTAAGGAACCAACTGGACAGGTGTTGGTACACAAGACGGTAATGGTGCAGAGAAGAGATATTATTGCATGCTTTGCTAGTTTAAGATGGTTGTAAACTGTTGTTTTAATTTTTTTCTTTGTCTTTGGATTGATATTACAGACTTAAGTACTAAGGTTCCATTCAGGTAATGTGCATGAAATAAAGAATTTACAACAATATTTTTAGCAAGATTGGGATGAAGCTGTTTGAAGAAAATGTCTGTTCATTTCAACCAGACACAGGACACCTCTAGCAAATCCCTAAATTTAATTCTATGTGATATGTGTACTTAGTTCTTTTTTAATCAAACAAACACATTGAAAACATATGTTAATTTAGGGGAAGGAAGTCACAAGTGCTTTGTCTTTGTCTTTAAAACAAAGCATTGAGCACGCTCTTTTATTAGTCATCGTCTATATGCCACAGTGTGTTCTTTCTCACAACAGTTTTCATAATGTAAACAATAACAATCATTGATTGCATATTTTAATTAATTTAGAATCCTTGTGTATTTCGCAACTAACACCTGCATATCTTTCTCAGTAGGATGACGCTTCATTTATGCAACTGTTGTGCAATCACTGCCTCAAGAACATGCCATAGTGCTCACTTTTCAAAAAAATATTTGAATCGCTTATACTGTACTTATATTTAAGTTATTGCTTCAAATAAATAATAATTATAAAAAAAATTTCCCTTGCTAATTAACAATAATATTACTATTCTTTTGAATATACTGGTTGAAATTTAAGGATTTTTGTAGTATAAAATGTCTAAATCCTTGTGTAAAAACTCATTTTTTCTGATTCCTGAGTAATAAATTTGTTATATATAAAATGTTTTAATATATTTTATGACAAATAACTTTAGTAATTTGTTTAGTAGAATATTTTTTCAAATCAACAATATTATTGTTAAGTTAAAAAAAACAACAGAGTTGCTTTTCCTTTGTATTTTAGTGTATTTTTGGAAGTACAATATTATGTAACTCATTTTTAGTTTGGATTCATTCATTAAAAAAATAGCATGGATACCTGACACCTGATAGTGTTTCTGTCTTAATGGATTACATATTAGTCCAAATAAAAAAAAAATATTAGCATCTCGTCACCTCGTGTATCCATTTCTCCGCCTCATCAAATATTTTTTTTTGAAATTTCCTTTATGTACCAAAATCTGTCTAACTCACATCAGTAAAATTCCTTTCTCGATCATTTGTGGTTACATGGTATGAATCATGTCTAGTGCTTCTTTTATTAGCTTTCAATGTGTCTACTTGGTAAATGTGAGTAGCTGTTTCCCATCTTGGATTTGCATTCTCGGAGTTCACAAAAAAAGTTACCTCATTCTCTTTTTTTCAAAATATTAGGACAAGAAACTACTTTTTTTTTTTACTTGGCCTTAAATTCTTTGGCTACCATCTCATATAGATAAACAAAATTCAGAATTAAGAATATTTTCTTTAGAAAAAGTATAAATGTTGGTGCTGGGATATTTCTAAATATAAATTTAGTATGAATGTGCACGAGGTGTCATAAATTACGAAGCCTGTGTAATGCAAAGTTAACAAGGTTAAAATGCATGGCCATATCTTTAAATATCAATAAGCACTACAGATATTATCATCATAATCAGAGTTTGCTCTTGAATATTAGAATTTTATAATTTGTGTTTTTCAATGATCAGGTCTTCATACTGTAGACAGGTGTTCACTTCAAAAATAATATTTGACTCTGAAGGTCTGAAATTTTCAATCTAGTTAAATGTACTCAACATCACCATAGTTGGAGCCGAGATGCAACTGTTATGAACATTTATTCAAATAAAAACACCCTGGGACATTTATTATTGAGAAGGGTTTTTGGGGGGCATTTATTCGAGGGAGGTGTATATTAGAGAGGTTCTTATTTTTTTTTTTGGTGAAAAATGGATACTTACACTGAAATAAATGTCCCTTAATTTAATTTAATTTAATGTAGAACTACATACAACACATAAACAGGTTAGAAAAATGTAATTCTACCGGAATAGAACATTAATAGAATGTGTTGAGAATGGTGTTAATTCAATCAAAAATAAACCCCTCAGGCCATTTATTTGAAGGAGACTTTTATTTCAAATAAGGCTCTAGAGAGGTATTTATTCAAGGAGGGCTTTTATTGAAATAAATACGGTTATACATCCAGTCCCCTGGAATAAACCTCTCCGATTTTAAAATGCTATCATTTCTCTCTTGATTTCGAAAAGTAGAACTGTCTCCACGCCCACCCCATGTTCTGCACCTATGATGGCATAAAGAAATGTATTTTATCGTTTTTCTCAGTGCTGCAGATGAAATATTTGTTACTGATTTCCATTTACCAAAACACAAATTAAAAAGCTTTTTGGGGGAAATCTAAATGTCCTTGGTAACCTAAGGTGAAATATTAATTTGCATTACATTTGATTTATGAATCACACAACTTTAGTAATAATAATAATAATAATTATTCAACATATTCAAAAAATATGGATGCAACAAACATGAATGATCACTCATAATTTACTTTATTTTATTTTTTTTGTATTACACTTTGAGGGTGCCAGAAAATAGCAATAGATGACAGTCATCAGGCCTTCTAGTGTACACTAAAACAAAGTTAAAAATATTGCCTAGCCTGTAATGCAAATTTTGTGATGATTACCTTTACTACTGTGTCTATGATGATTTGATTACCTTATCTATCTATAATAAAACATAGAGCATAGAATAAAATATCCTTACAGTGATTTGTGTCTAATATAAAAGTAGTTACTCTATCCCGACTGTATCTATTTATAAGTTCCATACTGTGAAACTTTGAATAGAAGCCCAATGGGCTTAATCTCAAGAAGAAAACCCATTTGGAATTGAAGCCCCCTCTTTAGTTTGTAAAAGTAGCCTTGAGAAAAAGCCCATCTCAAACTTTTCAAGTTAGCATGGGCTTCTTTTAGAGATAGCACATAGTACATTCATTGTACATGAATTAAAAAAAAAATTAATTGAAAACAAGCTTGGTTTGTAGTTAGGTGATTTAATGCCAGTTAATACACTCCATGATACAGACTATGTTACAGTGGCCCTAATTATTGTTTTATAGTTAGTAATCCCCAAAATTTGCAGCATTCATTTTGAAAAGTACCCCCTTTTTACTTTGCAAATGTAGCCTCGAAAAGAAGCCCATCTCGAAAAAGAAGCCCATCCAAAGTTCGCAAAAAAACCGAAGCCAAGGGCTTCTATTTAAGTTTTTACGGTACAGTATTAGTGTTGTACAGTATGTATTTCTTTTTACAAAAAAAAGCCACATGATATTAATTTATGTATGTTTTATGACAATATTGAATGGCGGGTCATAGCTGAGTGGTACTACATTTGGAAATACCATGATGCTACAGTATAAAGAAAAAGAAATATTTTTCCAAAATGTGAATAAATGTGCATTTGGGGTCAAACCTATATATTTTGCAACACTATCAGGAAGAGAATGGTGGAATTGTATTCCATACTACAGAAGTACAGTATTACTGTATCACTGCATGTTGGTATGGCAATACCAAGTAATAGTTTAGCAGTTACTGTATGATTTTATGTCCAAAACCTTGTTTTCAGTTGGGTCCTTCTGATAGTGAATTAGGCAGTACATTGGAAAACAATCCCCCTCCATTTCCCAAAGTGTTCTCTAACATGCACATGGGACCAACAGATTAACTTCTGATCCGAAAGACGGTACGCTATTGCAACATTGTTTTAAATACTGTACATATATTGTGTTTTTATTCAACAATGAATACCTTGTACATTACATTGTTTTAGACCTCCAGCTGAATCTGAAGGACAGCAGCTACTGGAATTGAACAGATTAGCTGAGTGCTAATGCTTCTGCTTCTCTCGATGAATTGTAGTCATACACTTTTTTTTTTTTTTTTTTTTATAAGAACAAATTTTTAAAAGAACAGTGAGGCTGAAATTGCTTAAAAAATAAAAACAAAATAAGAACAAATTCAGGCTGAGGTAAAATGTCAAATGAGGTTTTTGAAAAACCAAAAATATTATATCTGTACCTTATGTGCAGTAATGTAGGTGTGACTATGTAATACCCCCTATAATCAGGTGTACTGTCATTTGGGGCCATTTTTCTTGGGCAATTTTTCCAGGGCATTTTTTCAGGGCCCATTTTTGCTATACAATAATAATTTTCTATGTTTGAAAAGTGTGTAAAATAAGATATCAATACTCACATACTGTACCTATTGATAAAACACTTGAGATTCTTTCATTAATTTGGCAATAACTTCCTGTTTTGTTTCTGTTGTCTTATGGTGGAAATAAAAATGAAACCATAACACTTTACAAAAACAGTATGGAATCGAATGTGGGATGAAGTTCAGGAAATATGAAACAATACTTTGTAAGTTAGAGAAATAACAATAAGAAAAATAAAAAACAAAAAGAAAATTGTTTATAGGTTTGCATGGTAGACAAAAGTACAAATTTGTGATAATCCATGTGAATAGTCACAGTCAACTATGTGTTTTTGCATAAATCATATTAGGCCCTTAAAAATAATTAGATTCACCCAACTTGCACCAAAATAACATATTATAAGAAAATAACTTGAATGAATTTGAAATGGTTCTTAGAGATTTAGAAAAGTTTGTTACCATGGCATGTCATTAAACAACCCTGCTTGAGATCAAGTGAACTTTTGGAATATGCACAGGAACACATTAGTTTCTTTACAATTAATGTATCAGTAATTTAATTAAAATTTAGAAGTTTTATCAATTTTATGATGGGTTTGTTTACATTTACTTATTAAAAGAATAATGAAGCTGGTAATATTTTAGTATGCCATTTAATTCACTCTATGACGTTACAGAATCTTCAGGTTTATTATTAGCTGCAATCCAATAAGCTACACTTTTGCTCAAGTATAACATCCACTTTCCTGTATATTTTTTTTGAGTATTCTTGTTTTTTTTTGTTTTTTTTTAAATGAAATTTCCAAATAAACAATCAAGTGTAACACTAAATTATTTTATGAGGTCACCAGCCAGCCAAAAGGGTCTTTGTAAAGAATAGGTGGAGTATTATTTTGTATCAAAATGGCAAGGAAAGTATTTTTCCTATTCAAATTATCAAAGAGAAAGCTACTGTACAATTAATTTTTAAAGCGAGGAAATCAATCAACAGTTTTGCTTATACTTGTATAAGTGCTCTCCTCAAAACACAATAAACATTGTGGTTTTAAAAACAAACTTGAAGGAACTAAACAAAAACAAAACATTCACTCTGGTCTCAGAATCTGTAATTGGGCATTGCTGGAAAATTCAGCACTTTCGCCCCGATGTGTTTTGCAGAGCTTGCATGCAACATGTTCTCAAATTTGTTTTGAAATTAATTTTTCATTCTTAAATAATTTATTAATTTTTAAGGCGCTAGTTAAATAAAGTTGATGTTTGTTGCAATTCAGCAATCATGACAAATACACAGCAGCCTGATAATAAAGTCTAATCTAGCACTGCACGCAGCACAGTACATTACTATTAAGTATTATTAATATTTATAGCAAGTTATTAGTAATATACTAAAAATACAGTTAGTATAATAATAATTGAATAATCATAGGCCTACTACTGGCTAGGTCTGGGCGTAGGCTATTATATAGTAATAATATCAATAATATATAATAATATATACCTAATAATATATTATAATAAAATTTTGATAAATACAATCACATAAACCAATGAGATATAAAATTCTATACGTAAAGACTAGATAAAATGATAAGAACTCTGAAGTATTAGATAAGCTTTCTGCTTAGATGTATTTAACTATTATAGTGTGTAGCAGATAAATAGTTAGTAAGGTCTACCGTAAAACCTAGGCTAGGCCTACTGAACTGTAGGCAGCTGTGTAGTACACAGATATACCCCAATCTATCCGCTCACTGTCAAAAACCATGAGAACCACAAAACAATGAGCGTAGCTAAGCCTAGCCAAACAGACCAAATTATAAGTAGGCCTAGGCCTATCTTGATAGTGAATGCAAAGAGTATATTATTACTACTAGTTTACTTACTGTGAATGCATCCCCACGCGTAGGTTTCTTTTCGTCGCATTAAATTAATAATATTATTTGTAGACCTAGCACTAGACCTAGCTAGGTTACTATCTACTCAGCAGAAACGAATTGAACAAAAACAAAAACAAATCGCTCGCTCGATCGCTTCATGTCATCAGATCAGCTAACGTTCCTACTTTCTAGATAAATTGAAGCGCGCCCCCTATTACAAATGAAAAATATCCAAAATACAAAAAAACATAACGCATTATTATTATTATTTAACTTGCATTTTATGTAATGGTAATAAATTGATCTTGTACCACGTATTATACTTTGTTATACGTTTATAGTATGCATGGAAAGAATGTAAGAATTAAGTGTTTTCTAATGTTTATACATGGAAAGAATGTAAATTGTATTCTTGCGTCTTTTTGTGACTTTAAACAGGAATGTACATAAATTTACAGGTTAGGCTCCTAGATTTTGGAATGATTTGCTCTTTTTGTGGAGATTTTCAAAATGTTCTGTCTTTCGCTTCTTCATTTGTTCTCTTTTTTTTTCTTTGTATACCGTTTCTCTGTTTTTTAAGTTTCCAAGGAACCCGTAAATTAGCGTATTGAGACAAGTTTATGTTGTGTTTACTAGCTACTCAGTTAAAAAACACATTCTGATTGGTCTAAGTTTGACTGACAAGAATATACAGTAAAATCGAATTTAATTTTCAGAGTTTATTTACTTTCTCTTTGAAAATCGTTTTACACATGGTCATCATAGTGGGCTTCTACCTATCAAAATAACATTTTCTTTTTCTCTAAAGGAAAATTATGTACTATTTTACAGGTTAAACAGTAAGGATAAGAGGCTTACCATAAAACAAAGAAACAAAGGCAGAACTGAGACTTGTTGAGATGATGATGTCAGTAAAAGAAGTATCTCTATTGCATTAAAATGTTTATAATAAAACATTATTTAAAAGAAAATGTACAAAACTCATTTTATCTATTTTATACTCTTCTAAACCGGTACCCTCTGTGGAAATGTACACTTGTGAATGACCATCAACAGATATATTTGTTAATGATAACCAAAACAAGAATAATCTGTCCAATGACAATTAAATAGATATGGTTACCTTATCAAATGTCACTTTGTGTGGCCGTAACAACAATATCCAAGGGGCGGGGTTTTGCTTGAAGGTCCATTAATATAGGAGGCCCCCGACAATTTTTTCTTATACCTCCACCCTCCCATGTTATAATTGCAAAAATTGCAGAATACAGTAGATTCCAAACGTATAGTTACACTCTGTTTTTCTTATTTGTAAATCCTGAATCAGCACCTTACTGGAAATAAGGCCTGAAACTATGTCATTGGCAATACAGAACTAAAAACCTGCAGCCCCATTATAGGATGTTGTAAAGCTTAGTTTCCATGCAATCGTTACAAGTCATGCTATCACCGACAGCTTTCGGTGATACTGATTGGTCGGTCAAATCAGGGAGCCTTCCCATTTGCCTCGGGAACTGCTACACAGCTCAACGATTGCACTTATAACACTGTAGCGAGTGTGTAACTATTTTAAGGAAACCAGGCTGTAGTTTCAGCCTTGCTGGCCAAAAAAAATAAAATCACACTTCTTTAAATAATCTGCAATTACAGTACTTTATCCATCGTGTCAAAATTCAAACTTCTAGCTTCAATTCCAGACTGCAGTTCCTTAATTCTACCTTTGGAATATGTTGAAGAGCACCACTCATTTCTGAGATGCCATTTTGTGGCAGCTACATATATTTTCAGGTCCTCAACGCAAATAGTATTCTGCCAGTGATAGTGTGTCTGGTTTGATGAGTTTATGGCATCATTAAACAAACATCATAATAATTATTTACTATATTGCCTGGTGTTATGCATAATCTTCATTCATGTAATGCAATTGAATTCACCTTAAATTGCCATTAAATTAGCTTTATGAATCAACGTTATCAAGTTCAGACAAGAATTGCTTGCATTTAGACATCAACACTTTCACTGCTTCTGATACCAATACATTGGGAGGTAAGGCTCCGGTTGTTTCAACTGAAACTGTAAAGATAAACAAACAAAATGAGTACATTGATTCCTTTCTCATCCTCAAATTTATGTCAAGAATATGCCAATAGACAGATTCGGTAATGGGCGTCACATGTTTTAACTTCAAATTGGCTCATTACAAAATGGGGAAATAAACAATGTGATTCTCAATAGTTTAAATAATAATTTATCAATGAGGTTGAAGCTGGCCACATAATATTAATATTATGTTTGTCAGACATAACATACATCATACAGAATTTATTAGAATTTATCTGATGAATTAGAGCACTGACTGACCTCCAACAGACATGGAAGGGCACACAATGAACTCTACGGAGTGACAATCAAATTTAACAACTGACCAGCCAAAACAGGACCAGGAATATGCGGTGTCTAACAAGCACACATGTTGTCCCTCAAACGCAAATGTTTGCGAATGCTTTTACACTGTCATTTTGTGGGATCTTAGCAACAATATGCAAGGGGTGGAGCTTAGCGAAAAGGACAATAAAGACAAAAAATATGTGACATGCCTAAATCTAGTCATGACATCACACCATGACCATATTTAGACATAACATGACTATATATGGGCATACAACAGATTTTTTGTCCAAGAAAAAAGGAGAGAGCTTTATGTCTGACAAACAATATCCTGATACTGTATATTTGTTATGATTAGTATGTAGCTCTATGCTCCAAGTATATAGTATGAGGGGGAATGCGAGAGGGGAGCTATGTGTAAATCAAAGAAGATGGAAACTGGGTTATTACTATTATTCTTCATTAACTGTTAATTAATACAATTATATATTGCTGAAAATATGGGAACATTGTGATGTATTACTTACATATATAATGATCACGTATTCTTGTCAGCTTAACAAGGTCCTTCAGATCCTAAAACCAAAAATGTTCCAATCGCATTAAAGAGATTCCTAGAAATACACGGTGCAATAAATGATGTATGCATATCAATGGGTACTTATAGAGGGAAATACATTGTATTTATATATTTTGTATATTCATATATATTCACAATGATAGAAAAATATAATGAGAGCAAGTGAAGTAAAGAGCAAACCAGTGTGAATGGAACTTCACAATTGGTACATACTTAATTTGTATGGTCACAAGATTAAGTAAAGCAAGATAAAGTAAAAACACTGAATTCAGAGCTGATAATAATCTGGGGTAACCCAATACCACTGATACACCAAAATAATTAGTTAAAATCCTTATGGACTTGGTAATTAATTCTCAATAATGCATGAGATAGGAGACAGGTAGTGCAAAAGACAAACCTCATGTCTGAACACTTCTCTGCTGCAAGTGTCGCTACGTGGATTCACAACAACTGCATGCTTCAAACCTGAAATACAAAGCAAAATAATATTGAAAGGTATGTCAAAAAAACAACAATAAAAACAACTGTGTGTGCTTTTATTCAAGACTGTGCCATACTCAGTATATTCCAAACACTTACCATCTATTTCCTTCAACTCCATTACTCCTCTGGAGAAACATTGCACCAATCGTTCTGCTAACTCCCCAGTGACATCACAATTGAGAGAGATATCCGGTAACAGTCTGTAAGATGCGGTTGCTGCAAAACAAAACATCAATCAACAAATTGAATATTGTAAACAATCTAGAGGGCTCTTTAATATCAATTATCAATATCTACTTTTCATTTTAAAAATGTTTATTTTGCTGTGTATAACTCCGGGCACTCTAGACTCTATGAAGAACGCAACGCAACGACGCGTGCGCTATGGATTGTTTTTAATGACGATCCGTTCAGACGACCACCTACAATCATTAAACGGGGGTTGGATTTGTCACGCGAGGGTGGTACGCTTGTCGTACGATGCAGTGAGTACCTGGCTTAAGGTACAGTATTTCAAATTCAAATTAAATCTCTAAAATACAATAGAATGGCAAAAAAAAATCTTTCTATGCTTTTCTTAATAGGAATGCAATGCACACAAAAGATGAGAGCAAATGTGATTTTGCGGTTTGGCGCAGCGATTTCCGAGGGTTCGAACCACACGCCGGCCGGCGATGCTTAGTTACCGCAGCTTGCACTGTTGACGGGTCGTGAAGTGGCTCACGCAATGCTTCAGCCCCAGGTGCAAGTATTTCATGGCTTATAAATTAAATAAACATTGTGTGACTGCCTCTCATTAACATTGATGGTATCATCAGGCTTAATTAACTAAGATATACAAATAAAAATAAATAAAAAAAATCAATAAATAAATATAAAACAGGAAAATGAAAACAATGAGAATTCCTGATAGAGTGAGTACCAGTTGAAAATCCTTGGTCACACGATTTAAAAAAATAATGTGTAAGAATAAGCTAATTAGTGGAGAAAACAGGGAAGATGTTTCACTAGATATTAGAAGGAATATTAAAAGAAAAATATTAGCTCTCTGCACACCTAACTTCAGTCTACCAGCTGTATCAGTGGGTAACAGCAACTTGCTGGGAGTAACCTGCGGTGGACCAGCGTGCCACGCAGGGGAAGCATCACGTTCTCATCTACTTCACGCTACTTGAAACTGGAGATAAGCTCAGCCCATATGAGCCCTGTGACTCGGCAAGGAATTACTTCTGTACAAAATGGCAAACCTACTACACAAAAGTTGAGTATATTCTCAAAATTAATGAGATGCACAATGTCAGGAAATGAAAAGCGTCAACAGTGTGTACTTACCAACTGGTGAGAACTTTGCATGGTCTTTACCAATGCCTTTCACACAGTGCATCTTGATATCTATCTCTTGGCCTGGTCTTAGCTTTGCTATCAAGATAGCATCATCAACTGGTTTAAATGCATTTGGGCCATACTGGCAGAGAGACAGTGATGGTGAGAATTAAATTATATTCATGTTAATATTCATTATTTGTTATTATCTATAATTATAAGGCAGCTTTCATTTAGTCGGTAGTATTATTGTTACATTTATATACCCAGGGTAGCCCAAACAGTTTAAAAAACTGATTTCCATTGGGGCCCCCTGCATTTTAGGTACATGGTCGTAACTGGTTATTTTTTCTTAAATAGTGCCTCATTTTCTTATATGGTGCCTATTCTTTAAATCATTTTGTGATGATTAGTGAGGGCGCACTTTAACCTTAACCTTGATAACAGGCAAATTTGAGTTTTAGCCAGTAAAATATACACT